CTTGCTACTTGTTGTTTGTTAGTGTTCCTGCATACAAAACTGAGCTGCATTCAAGTATTTAGTAAGTCCAGAAAGGTAAAAATGTCAATTTTAAAGTTACAACAAATTTATTGACATTATTATATTTGCATTTGCAAAACTACAGACGAGAGTGTATTGTTCATTTCATATAGATGAATATATGTCTGTAAGTTTCAAGGGAAAACCACAAATATATTTTTATTGTTGGATGTTTTATGGAAATATAAAACTTTTATAAAATATCCATGACAAGTTATGCTTTGTGAACAATATTAAAAATGTATTTGTATGGTTATATTTTAGAAATGATTAAAAGTTTAATTTAATTACATATTATAATTAACTCCTAGAATATTGTAACTGAACTAATAAACCATAATTTCTTTGTTTAATAATTATTTGCTTCATATTTTTAAATATATAACGTATTCTGATGATTATAGCATTTTTCGGAGGAGAATAGTCAGTTAATATGCTAATTATTTATACGTTTACGTCGAAGTTAGGTGTATGGTTCGATTTAATGCAATATATTGTAATAGGTTTCTGCTTCAAGAATTTCAGTTCAATAACTAACTAGTCTTAGATAATTTATTATTTCCTTTTTTTTAAACAATTTTAAGACAATAAAATCAAAAGGGACAAGAGGTAATATGTTAAGATCAGTTAAGAGGTAAAATGTATTTTTATAAGTATTAACTAATGTTTTAGAATATTACTGAAATCCACTACTGAAAGACGCCATTGAAATTGAATTGAGAATTGTATTGAATTATAGTGAATAGAGTGTAACGAAACTTTCTGAACCTTAATGATATAGTGTATGTGTTTCGTATTCCAAATTTTATATTCCTATCTATTACGGTTTTTGAATTTTCCAAACTAATGGAATAGTTCAACATGTTTTAGCTCAAATTTGGAGGAATTCCCTTAAGAGTACAAGCCTAAAATGTTTTTTAATACATTTAAAAGAAAGCCTATCTCAAAAACTATATTCAAGTAAAATTGTATGATCTCTATCTCTACTGGTTCAAAAAGTATCGAGTTTTGATCGTCTAATTTTAATTCTGTCACACTGTGCGGCATATTAACTTGATGTGGTGACTTCCGTATGACTTCTTCTGTTCTAGAAATGAATAAATGAATGAATGAATTCTTCCTTTCTTAGCAAACACTCTTCTAATAGCTTTTCTTTCAAACGCTCTCATTCGAAAAAAAATCTGATTGCAAGTGGAAAATTCGCATAATTTAATGCAAAATAGTTGCAATGAAAGACGGTACAGGAAAAAGGAAAAGGCGGACTTTCTCGAACTGGTTTGTTAAGAACTTATTTTCTTTGTAGTATTTCCGATCTTAACTGTGTTACTTATAATTTTTAAACAAAAAACAAAAATAAATATTATGGCATTTTTAATAATTACAAACATTTTCTCACTGTGTTAACACTCAACATAAATTATTCATGTTTAAATTGTGTAAAAAAAAACAATAACGTATGACGTCTTCCGGATTGACAAAATTATTAATTCAACGCAACATGATTTTTCATTATCGTATCAGACAGAATTCGCATAACAGCGAAATTTATTAATGCATTAGACAAACATATATATATGTAGAAGCCAACAACATTTGGGCTAAGTTTAACATAATTAACCAACTGTGTGCCATGTCAGACCACATCGAACCATGTGCGCCAATCATAACGTAACCGGTTGCATATTACAACATTGCCAATAGCAAATCCAGCCAAAACAGTTTTGTGTTTCTATGTGCACACATGTGTCATGTTCAACTGTTGCCAACTGTTGACTTTGGTCAACAGTGCAGCGCAAATCAAAGCAACATTTTTTCTTATTATCTCGTAAGGAATGGCTTGGCATGGTGCCTAGCATGTACTGCTTGAAGTGCACTGTAATTGCGCTGCTTACATTAAACGTCATCAATGTAATCATAGTCTAAGTCAATGTAAACGTAATCGTTGGTAACGTCAACTATTGCCGGTGGCTGCCAATATTATCAACGCAATCATAAACTAATAAATCAAGTTAAACGCCAATAGTGTTGCCAACTCTATGACACATAGATATGTAAAGCAACAGCAACAGCAACAGTAACTATAACTACCACATAAACAGCAGTGTAAGCAACAAATGCTATGCATTTGTATGTATGTATGGCCATATTATGGATTTGTTATTGATAAGCTTAGCTAGCATATATGTGTATACAAGTATGTGTGTGTTAGATTTGTTTATATGTATACGTATATTGATATTTATATATTATTTTATTTATTTCTCTTCATTCATTATTTTTTTGCGTTTGTTGCGCTATTTTTGTCATTATACTCGGACAACATATAGTATATGTCTGGTTGTTGTTACTGTTTTTGTTGCAATCGTCATAGCCACCGCAGCTGTCGTCATAATTTGCGTTATAGTTTCTATGTAGACTTTCCTGCATGGCTAACAAATCTTTTCGGTCGCAACTGCGCGGCTTGTTTAACCAGTTCGCCTGTTTGGTTCCATTTTATAGACGTTTCTGTTGTCTTTGTTGTTTTTGTTGTATTTGCTTTTTGTTATTAATATGTTCAGTTAATTTTTTAACTCGTTTTCAATTTCATTTCATCTTTGAAATTACGTGCAAAGTCAATG